AAAGAGCGTCAGGATGCCAAGAAAGGCAAGATCTTCACCAAGTGGATTCGCGAATTGACCGTCGCTGCCCGTCAGGGCGGCGGTGATCCGGGCTCCAACCCGCGTCTGCGCCTGGCGTTGGATAAGGCGCTGGGCGCCAATATGAGCCGCGACATTATTGATCGCGCCGTGGCCCGTGGTGCCGGTGCTGCCGATACCGACGACATGGTCGAGCTGACCTACGAAGGCTACGGCCCGGGCGGCGTGGCGGTGATGGTCGAGTGCATGACCGATAACCGTAACCGCACCGCGGCTGCCGTGCGCCATGCGTTCAGCAAGTGCGGTGGCAACCTCGGTACTGACGGGTCGGTGGCGTACCTGTTCGAGCGCAAGGGGCAGATCACCTTCGCGCCGGGCACCGATGAAGACGCGCTGATGGAAGCGGCGATGGAGGCGGATGCCGACGACGTGGTCACCAACGACGACGGTTCCATTGATGTTTTCACCTCGTTTGCCAGTTTCTACGCTGTGCGCAATGCGTTGGAAGCTGCCGGCTTCAAAGGCACCGACGCAGAAATCGTGATGCTGCCGACGACCAGTGCCGAATTGGACTTGGAAGGCGCGCAGAAAGTGTTGAAGCTGCTGGATATGCTTGAAGACTTGGACGATGTACAAAACGTCTATTCGAATGCCGATATTCCAGAGTCAGTGGCCGAACAGCTAGGCTGAAGCACGATGTGGATTGATGGTGGGAGGGGGCTTGTCCCCGATAGCGGTGTATCAGTCGCTGTATGTGGCGACTGATACTCTGCAATCGGGGGCAAGCCCCCTCACACATTGAATCTTCCCTGTATCAAAAAATGTGTTTAACCCAACCCGCAGGCGTTATGACTTTAATCCTAGGTATCGACCCCGGTTCGCGCATCACCGGTTTTGGCGTGGTGCAGCAGACTCCGCGTGGCTGCGTCTACGTTGCGTCGGGTTGTATTCGTACCGGTTCGGGGGAGTTGGCCGAGCGCTTGCAGATCGTCTATCGCGGCGTGCGTGAAGTGATCCAGACCTACGGGCCGGTGACCATGGGTATTGAAAAAGTGTTTATGGCCAAGAACGCCGACTCGGCGCTCAAACTCGGCCAGGCCCGTGGTGCGGCCATTGTTGCTGGCGCGGAGGAGGGCATGGAGATCGCCGAATACACCGCGACCCAAGTCAAGCAGGCTGTGGTCGGTACTGGTGGTGCCAATAAAGAGCAGGTGCAGATGATGGTCATGCACATGCTCAAACTCACGGCTAAACCGCAAATCGACGCCTCCGACGCCCTGGCCATTGCCATCTGCCATGCGCACACCCGTTCCAGCCTGCTGCCTCATGGCCTGGGTACGGCACGCAGTCGTGGCGGTCGCCTGCGTCTCTGATAGCATCAGCGCAATCGTGATTTCCGGTCAGGCTTTGATCTGACCCTAAGTGTTAAGGATCTGTACCGTGATTGGACGTTTGCGCGGCACCCTGGCTGAAAAACAGCCGCCGCACCTTATTTTGGATGTCAACGGGCTGGGCTATGAGCTGGAAGTGCCCATGACCACTCTGTATCGCCTGCCGTCGGTCGGCGAGCCGCTCACGCTGCATACCCATCTGGTGGTGCGCGAAGACGCGCAATTGCTCTATGGTTTCATTGGCAAGCGCGACCGTGACTTCTTCCGCGAACTGATCCGCCTCAATGGCGTGGGACCGAAACTGGCGCTGGCCTTGATGTCGAGCCTGGAGGTGGATGAACTGGTGCGTGCCGTCTCGGCGCAGGACACCTCGGCCCTGACCAAGGTGCCAGGCGTCGGCAAAAAGACCGCCGAGCGCTTGCTGGTGGAACTCAAGGACCGCTTCAAAGCCTGGGAAGTGGTGCCGAGCATGTTTGCCTTGGTGCCGAACCAGCCTGATATGCCGGCGTCCCAGGTTGCCAGCGCCGAAAGCGATGCAGTCAGCGCGTTGATTTCCTTGGGCTACAAACCCCAGGAAGCGAGCAAAGCGGTATCGGCCATCAAGGATAAGAACCTGAGCAGTGAAGACATGATCCGCCGCGCCCTGAAGGGAATGATTTAAGTGATTGAAGCTGATCGTCTGATCGCGGCCACCGGCCCGCGCGACCGTGAAGAAATCCAGGACCGGGCCATCCGCCCCCTGAGCCTGGCTGAATACATCGGCCAGCCCACCGTGCGCGAGCAGATGGAGCTGTTCATCCAGGCGGCGCGCGGGCGCAGTGAGTCCCTGGACCACACGTTGATCTTCGGTCCGCCGGGGCTGGGCAAGACCACCCTGGCCAACATCATTGCCCAGGAAATGGGGGTGTCGATTAAGTCCACCTCAGGTCCGGTGCTGGAACGTCCCGGTGATCTGGCAGCGTTGTTGACCAACCTAGAGCCGCACGATGTGCTGTTTATCGACGAAATCCACCGGCTTTCGCCGATTGTCGAGGAAGTACTTTACCCGGCAATGGAGGATTTCCAACTCGACATCATGATTGGCGAAGGCCCGGCGGCTCGCTCGATCAAGCTCGATTTGCCGCCGTTCACTCTGGTGGGCGCCACCACGCGAGCGGGGATGCTGACCAATCCGCTGCGAGACCGTTTTGGGATTGTTCAACGTCTGGAGTTCTATAGCACGGCGGATCTGGCCACGATCGTCAGTCGTTCGGCGAGCATCCTTGGCTTGCCGCTGGACCCTGAAGGCTCGTTTGAAATCGCGCGGCGTGCCCGGGGCACACCGCGTATCGCCAACCGTTTGCTGCGTCGTGTGCGTGACTTCGCCGAAGTGCGCGCCAAGGGGCACATTACGAAGGCGGTGGCTGACCTGGCGCTCAACCTGCTGGATGTGGACGAACATGGCTTCGATCATCAGGATCGGCGTCTACTCTTGACCATGATCGAGAAGTTCGACGGTGGCCCGGTAGGCGTGGACAGCCTGGCTGCCGCCATCAGCGAAGAGCGCCATACCATCGAGGATGTGCTTGAACCGTACCTGATCCAGCAGGGCTATATCATGCGCACGCCAAGGGGGCGGGTGGTGACGCGTCATGCTTATCTGCATTTTGGATTAAACATTCCGTCACGATTGGGCGAAATGCCCGTAGTAGACGAATTCCTCGATGCAGTGGACGATTAAAAGCGCTCGGCTCGACGATTTATTCAAGGTTTGTGCTGTCCCAGTGACTGGCGTCGTCATTCTGTCAGTGAAAATGTTTCAGAGAATGAAAAAACAGTTGCCTGGCCGGATTGGCAACCTCAGGAGTAAGCACTAGAGTATGCGCGCGCAAAACGGGGATCAGTCGTTCGCACATCGCTGTCGCGTTTATTACGAGGACACCGATGCCGGCGGCATCGTTTATTACGTCAATTACCTTAAGTTCATGGAGCGGGCTCGAACCGAGCGGCTACGGGAGCTGGGCTTTGCCCAATCCCAGCTGGCAGGGGAGGACCTGTTATTCGTCGTGCATTCCAGCGAGGCGCGTTATCACGCCCCGGCGCGACTGGATGATGAACTGCTGGTTAGCGCTGAAGTCATCGAATTGAACCGTGCCAGCCTGCGCTTCAAACAGCAGGTCAGGCGGGCAACGGATGCAACGCTGCTCTGTGAGGGGCAGTTTTTGGTGGCGTGTGTACGCACCAACAGTTTGAAACCTCGGGCCATTCCCGAAACTCTACGTGTGGCCTTTGCCGCCGTGAGCGGCGCGGGTAAACAATCAAAGCAGGAGATTTAGCGTGGAACCTACCGTCGTCGACCATTCCTCCATGTGGAGCCTGGTCAGCAATGCCAGTGTTGTGGTTCAACTGGTCATGCTGACCCTGGTAGCCGCATCGGTTACCTCTTGGGTCATGATTTTTCAGCGCAGCAACCTGCTGCGTGCCGGTCGACGTGCCCTGGAGAGCTTTGAAGAGCGCTTCTGGTCGGGTATCGACCTGTCCAAGCTCTATCGCCAGGCCGGCAGCAATCCGGACCCGGATTCGGGTGTGGAGCAGATCTTCCGTGCCGGCTTCAAGGAATTCTCCCGCCTGCGCCAGCAGCCTGGTGTAGACCCGGAAGCGGTGATGGAAGGCGTGGCCCGCGCCATGCGCGTCGCCATTTCCCGCGAAGAAGAGAAGCTTGAGCAGAGCCTGCCTTTTCTTGCCACCGTTGGCTCCGTCAGCCCGTATATCGGCCTGTTCGGTACGGTGTGGGGGATCATGAACTCCTTCCGTGGTCTGGCCCAGGCTCAGCAAGCGACCCTGGCCACCGTGGCTCCCGGTATCGCCGAAGCCCTGATCGCCACTGCGATCGGTCTGTTTGCCGCCATCCCTGCGGTGATCGCCTATAACCGCTTTGCCGCACGCGGCGAGAACCTGATTGGCCGTTACTACACCTTCGCCGATGAATTCCAGGCGATCCTGCACCGTAAAGTGCACACCAGCGAAGAATAAGCAGGTACCTCCCGATGGCTTTAATCACTCGAGCTCGAACCAAGCGCAAGCCGGTCGCCGAGATGAACGTAGTGCCTTACATCGACGTGATGCTGGTGCTGCTGGTGATCTTCATGGTGACCGCGCCGATGCTCAACCAGGGTGTGAAGGTTGATCTGCCCAAGGTTTCCAGCGAAGCCTTGCCGCAAGACAACAACACTCAGGTGCTGACCATTTCGATCAAGTCCGACAAGACCTATTACTGGAACCTTGGCAGCGAAGTCGACACTCAGAAGCAACAGGACAAGGCCCTGACGTTGCCGGCGATGACCGATGCGGTGACCAAGATCATTCGCGCCGGTAACGAAGGTGGCAAGCACACCCAAGTATTCATCCGCGGTGACAAAGCAGTCGACTATGGCTCCGTCATGGGTGCCATGGGCGGGCTGCAGAAGGCCGGCGTCGGTAATGTTGGCTTGATTACCGAGGCGCCCTGATGCACCAACAGCGAGAGCCGTCCGCCTCGGAAAGCTACTTCTGGCCTAGCGTTTGGGCGATTGCCCTGCATGTGCTGGTGTTTGGCATGTTGTTCGTCAGCTTCGCCATGACCCCGGACCTGCCGCCAGCCAAGCCGATCGTGCAGGCGACCCTGTATCAGCTGAAATCGAAAAGTCAGGCCACTACCCAGACCAATCAGAAGATTGCGGGTGAGGCTCAGAAGTCGGCTGCGCGCCAGACTGAAGTCGAGCAGATGGAACAGAAGAAGGTCGAGCAGGAAGCGGTGAAGGCTGCTGCGGAACAAAAGAAAGAAGAGGCGGCTCAAAAGGCCGAGGAATCGAAAAAGGCTGACGAAGCCAAGAAGGCCGACGAGGCGAAAAAGGCTGATGAAGCCAAGAAAGCCGAGAAAGCTGCCGAAGCTAAAAAGGCTGAAGAGAAACAATTGGCTGATATAGCCAAGAAGAAATCTGAAGAAGAAGCCAAAAAAGCTGCCGAAGAAGAGGCCAAGAAAAAGGCCGCTGAGGAAGCTAAGAAGAAGATAGTCGAGGACGCGAAGAAGAAAGCCGCCGAAGACGCCAAGAAAAAAGCTGAAGCAGACGAGGCGAAGAAGAAAGTCGCCGACGACGCGAAGAAGAAAGCTGCCGCTGATGCCCAGAAGAAGAAGGCTCAGGAAGCAGCGCGCAAATCCGCCGAAGAGAAAAAGGCCCAGGCCTTGGCAGATTTGCTCTCCGACACGCCGCAGCGTCAGCAAGCCTTGGCCGATGAGCGTGGCGATGAAGTCGCGGGCAGTTTCGACGACCTGATTCGGGCGCGGGCGGCGGAAGGCTGGACACGTCCACCTTCGGCACGCAAAGGCATGACAGTAGTGCTGCAGATCGGCATGTTGCCGGACGGTACGGTGACTTCGGTCAGCGTAGCCAAGTCCAGTGGTGACGGTTCGTTCGACAGTTCGGCGGTTGCCGCGGTCAAGAACATTGGCCGGTTGACCGAGATGCAGGGAATGAAACCAAGCGACTTCGCTCCCTATCGTTCATTCAAGATGACATTCACACCTGAGGATCTAGCCTTGTGAGAAACCTTCTTCGAGGAATGCTTGTCGTTATTTGCTGTATGGCAGGGATAGCGACGGCGGATGAAAAGAACATCCTGGTTACCAGCGGTAGCGATCGGGCCACTCCGATCGCGGTAGTGCCGTTCGGTTGGCAAGGCGGCAGTGTATTGCCGGACGACATGGCACAGATCGTCAGTGACGACCTGCGCAACTCCGGTTATTACGCGCCAATTCCAAAAGGCAACATGATCAGCCAGCCAAACCAGGCCAGCGAAGTCGTGTTCCGTGACTGGAAAGCCGTTGGCGCCCAGTACCTGATGGTCGGCAACATTGTGCCGGCTGGCGGCCGCTTGCAAATCACCTACGCGTTGTTCAACGTGGCCACCGAGCAGCAGGTCCTGACCGGCAGCGTGTCGGGCACCACCGAACAATTGCGTGACATGGCCCACTACATTTCGGACCAGTCGTTTGAAAAGCTCACCGGCATCAAAGGTGCTTTCTCTACGCGTCTGCTCTATGTAACGGCTGAACGCTTCTCGGTAGATAACACTCGCTACACCCTGCAACGTTCGGACTACGACGGTGCGCGGGCAGTGACCTTGCTGCAATCGCGCGAGCCGATCCTGTCGCCGCGCTTTGCACCGGACGGCAAGCGTATTGCCTATGTGTCCTTCGAACAGAAGCGCCCACGTATCTTTGTGCAGCATATCGATACCGGTCGCCGTGAGCAGATCACCAACTTCGAAGGCCTTAACGGCGCGCCTGCCTGGTCACCGGATGGCTCGCGCCTGGCGTTTGTGCTGTCTAAAGATGGCAATCCGGATATCTACGTGATGAACATGGCTTCGCGTCAGATCACCCGTGTTACCAGCGGCCCGGGCATCAATACCGAACCGTTCTGGGGCAAGGATGGCTCGACCATCTACTTCACTTCCGACCGTGGCGGTAAGCCACAAATCTACAAGTCCAGTATTGGCGGTGGCGGTGCGGAACGAGTGACCTTTATCGGTAACTACAACGCCAACCCTAAACTTTCGGCTGATGAAAAGACGTTGGTGATGATTCACCGTCAGGATGGTTTCACTAATTTCCGGGTTGCGGCCCAGGATTTGCAGCGCGGAACCGTAAAAATCCTTACAGATACCAACCTTGATGAGTCAGCTACTGTTGCGCCCAACGGCACCATGGTAATCTACGCCACCCGCCAGCAGGGCCGGGGAGTCTTGATGCTCGTGTCCATTAATGGACGCGTAAGGCTCCCGCTTCCTACCGCACAAGGCGAAGTCAGAGAACCATCCTGGTCCCCTTACCTGAACTGACGCGGCGCTACAAAAAGATTTGCTTAACACACTGGGGTTCATTAGGAGTTTCACGATGGAAATGCTGAAGTTTGGTAAGTTTGCTGCTCTGGCTCTGGCTCTGTCCGTAGCCGTTGGTTGCTCGTCCAAAGGCGGCGACAATGCCGGTGAAGGCGCAGCTGTTGATCCAAACGCTGGTTATGGCGCTAACACTGGTGCAGTTGACGGCTCCCTGAGCGAAGAAGCTGCTCTGCGCGCGATCACTACTTTCTACTTCGAATACGACAGTTCGGACCTGAAGCCAGAAGCCATGCGCGCTCTGGACGTTCACGCGAAGGACCTGAAAGCTAACGGCGCTCGCGTTGTTCTGGAAGGTAACACCGACGAACGTGGTACTCGTGAGTACAACATGGCACTGGGCGAGCGTCGTGCTAAAGCCGTTCAACGCTACCTGGTCCTGCAAGGCGTTTCGCCAGCTCAGCTGGAACTGGTTTCCTACGGTAAAGAGCGTCCAGTTGCTACTGGCCACGACGAGCAGTCCTGGGCTCAAAACCGTCGCGTCGAACTGCGTAAGTAATTCGTCATGCGAACGTGCCGTCGTGCTCTAACTGTATTGGCTCTCAGCTTCGCACCGCTTGCGGTGTGGGCTGCGGTTCCTGTGGAAGATAGCAACTCTGGCTATAACAATAGCGGGAGCAGTTATCCGCCAGCGGGTTATGGCACGAACGGCGCCTATGCTGGGGGGGCGGCTACGTCCGCGCCCTCGGCACAGGGCGAACTGTTCAATCAGCTGCAACGCATGCAGGATCAACTTGCGCAGCAACAAGGCGCGATTGAAGTTCTGCAGAATCAAGTGAACCAGCTCAAGCAAGAAGGCCTGGAGCGATACCAGGATCTTGATCGACGTATAGGAGCCGGCGTTACACCTGCCGCCACTCCTGATAATTCTTCTGCCGGTGGCGCGCCAAGCGCTGCTGCCGGTGGTGCAGCAGCCGGGGCGGCCGCTAGCCAAGCCCCCGCCGCCAGCAGCGAACCGGGTGACCCAGCGAAGGAAAAGCTCTATTACGATGCTGCCTTCGACCTGATCAAAGCCAAGGACTTCGATAAAGCCAGCCAGGCTTTTACCGCATTTCTGCGCAAATACCCCAACAGCCAATATGCGGGCAACGCTCAATACTGGCTTGGCGAAGTCAACCTCGCCAAGGGTGATTTGCAAGGTGCCGGCCAGGCATTTGCCAAGGTCAGTCAGCTGTACCCCAAGCACGCCAAGGTGCCGGACTCGCTGTATAAGCTGGCTGACGTAGAGCGCCGCCTGGGTCATACCGACAAGGTCAAAGGCATTCTGCAGCAAGTAGTGGCCCAGTATCCGGGGACGTCCGCTGCCCAGTTGGCTCAACGCGACCTGCAACGCTTGTAAGCGAAGCTGCCCGTTTAGAAGAAACCCGCGCCTGGCGCGGGTTTTTTCGTTAGAATCCACGCCCTTTTATGAAACACGCTTCTTGGGGTCTACGCGTTGGCGGGGTTCCTAGAAGTGCCTGACGGAGGCGGACAGCCTGTTTAGCTGTTACGCCCGTGGCGATTATGCAAGACACATTACGTATTACCGAAGTTTTTTACTCGTTACAGGGTGAAACGCGAACCGCAGGCCTGCCTACTGTATTTGTACGGCTGACAGGTTGCCCTTTGCGTTGCCAATACTGTGACAGCGCTTACGCCTTCAGTGGCGGCACCGTGCGTACCCTCGACGATATCCTGGAGCAGGTGGCAGGTTTCAAGCCCCGTTACGTCTGCGTGACGGGCGGTGAGCCCCTGGCACAGCCCAATGCCCTCCCGTTGCTCAAGCAGCTGTGTGACGCAGGTTATGAAGTGTCTCTGGAAACCAGCGGCGCCTTGGACATCTCTGCGGTAGACCCTCGCGTGAGCCGCGTGGTCGACCTCAAGACCCCGGATTCAAAAGAGGCGCATCGCAACCGCTACGAAAATATGGATCTGCTGAGCGTCAACGATCAGGTCAAGTTCGTGATTTGTTCTCGTGATGACTACGATTGGGCAGTATCAAAGCTGATTCAGTATGGTCTTGAGCGGCGCGCAGGTGAGGTGCTGTTCTCCCCAAGCCACCATGACCTGAATGCCCGCGACCTGGCTGACTGGATAGTGGCAGACAATCTGCCGGTGCGCTTGCAGCTGCAGCTCCATAAATACCTGTGGAACGACGAGCCGGGTCGTTGAAATTCAGCTTCTCGGACTCGGCCTTGGTGGGTTGTATGGGGCTTGCAAATAGCCTTAATCACGGCGATAAGGTGTTTTTTCTGATTTATTTTAAATAAAGTGTTGAATAGTCCTTAGAAATCAGTATTATACGCGCCACCACACAGCGGGTCGTTAGCTCAGTTGGTAGAGCAGTTGGCTTTTAACCAATTGGTCGTAGGTTCGAATCCCACACGACCCACCATTTTTAGCGGTTTAGAAAATCCGGAAGGCCCACGTAAGTGAGGATTTCCGGGTTTTTTTTTGCCTGCGATTTGGGGGCGGACGGAGTCGGAAGGGTTTGAAAGACGCCTCGGGCAGTACTACAGCGATGATCCCGGAGGTTCCCATTTTTTACCCGACAGGCACCCCCGCGAATACCAGATTAGGCTTTTGAATCCATTCGATATTCTGTAGCCTTGCCCAGCTTCTGTTTCACCCGTGCTTGATGAACACAATCACTTCGTCCGGCGGTGCCCGAAGGGCTCCAGAGCCGGTGGTACACTCGACTTTCGCGCTTCTGCGCCTGCAGGTCTTGCGAACATGACGCACATTTCCGAACGCTTACTGGTTCAAGCCCATCTCGACGCCAAGCAGCCTAAGGCTCTCAGCGCCGAGGAAGAGGCGAGCCTGCGTACCGCCATCGCCGCTGAGCTCAAAGCTCAAGACGCGGTGCTGGTAGCCCACTTTTATTGCGATCCGGTGATTCAGGCCCTGGCCGAAGAGACCGGTGGCTGTGTCTCCGACTCCCTGGAAATGGCTCGCTTCGGCGCCGCGCACCCGGCCAAGACCGTGCTGGTTGCCGGCGTGCGTTTCATGGGGGAGACGGCCAAGATCCTTACACCTGAAAAACGCATTCTCATGCCTACGCTTGAAGCGACCTGCTCTTTGGACCTGGGCTGCCCGGTAGATGAGTTTTCGGCGTTTTGCGATCAGCATCCCGAGCGTACCGTGGTGGTGTACGCCAATACCTCGGCTGCGGTAAAAGCGCGGGCTGATTGGGTGGTGACGTCCAGCTGTGCGCTGGAAATTGTCGAGAGTCTGATGGACAACGGCGAAACCATCATCTGGGGCCCGGATAAACACCTGGGCACCTACATCCAGCGCCAGACCGGCGCCGACATGCTGCTGTGGGACGGTGCCTGCATCGTCCATGAAGAGTTCAAGTCCAAGCAGCTGGAAGATATGAAGGCGCTGTACCCGGATGCAGCCATCCTAGTGCACCCGGAGTCTCCCACGTCGGTGATCGAGCTGGCCGATGCGGTGGGCTCCACCAGCCAACTGATTGCCGCAGCGCAGCGTTTGCCGAACAAGACTTTCATCGTGGCGACCGACCGCGGGATCTTCTACAAGATGCAGCAGCTATGCCCGGACAAGGTCTTCGTAGAAGCGCCTACGGCCGGCAACGGTGCGGCATGTCGCAGTTGCGCACACTGCCCGTGGATGGCCATGAATACGCTGGAGCGCACGCTGCAGTGCCTGCGTGAGGGCAGCAACGAGATCTTCGTCGAACCCTCAGTGATTCCACAGGCTGTGAGACCGCTTAAGCGCATGCTGGATTTTACTCAGGCTGCGCGCCTGAAGCTGGCCGGTAACGCATAGTCGAGTGCGGTAAAAAACGTGGGAGGGTATGGCCCTCCCACATTTTGATCTGTACCAGGCACGGGGTTATTTTTTCTGCTTCGGAATCCGCACCAACTGCGTATCCGAGTAGATGTCATGCCAGCTGCGTTTCTGCTTGTCGAACAGCGACCAGAGAAACCCCAGCCCCACGCACAACCACGACGCAATTGACACCACAAAGCGCAGCAGCGCTTGCCACAGGCTGATCCGCGAGCCGTCGGCGTTCTGCACGCGTACGCCCCACACCTGCATGCCCAGGGTCTGACCGGAATGGGTCCAGAACTTGGCGAAGAACCCAAACAGTACAAACAATAGAATCGTCGACAGC